AGACCATAGGTCACAACAGCATACAATTTTGTTACCGCTCGGTAATTATGAATTTGATTTTTTCTCAAATTTGGTAAGTTCACTGACGATTACTTTCTTTCCCTTAAGACGAGCATGTGCCTTCAAATTTTAAAAAAGGTCATTTTATGGGACCATCGTTCAAATATATGCGTGCTGCTTGAAGTTTTAATATTATTATCTTTGTGTGGTCTAACCTGTTCTTAGTAATGATGAGGGCCTTTGTAACCGATTAGAAGGACATTTGTTTTGTTCAGCAAATTAATGCTAAGAAAATGTTAAGGATCTTAATGATTCATACGGTGCTACTGAGAAGTGTGTGTTTTTCGCTACGCGTACTGTAGGCTAAAAATAGAGCAGATTCAAAGCCAGCCGCGATCGCCGAACATTGAGAATCGGACGGATTGTACTAAATTTCTTTTAAAGTACATCCTCCCCTAAGTCTTTAAAACCCCCGCAATATGGACTTACGACGCCTTTTTAACGTGATCAGTTATTCAGAGCGATACATAGTTCATGATTGACTTTCGGAATTTGCCATTTTTAGCATATTCGATTCAGGATAACAAACTAGTCTCTTGGATACATCTTTCGCAATATTCCCTTTTTATCCATGCTGCAGTCGCCCAGGTCTTCATTTTAAAGTTAACTTCAAATAAATATATCTGAAATTTTAATTAAATCAAAAATTTTGCTCCAAAAACTAATTTGAATATGAAGATGCGTTCAATTGTTGCAAGTAGCACTACTGTATTACAAAGAGAGAAATTACACATATCGCCCTTTTAACCATGTGCACCCCTCAATCGCTGTAAAAACGATAGACAAGCATGCTGTAAAACTTCACATTCGCAAACGATCTTGTGAAATGCCTTAACGTTCCCTAAATATTCTCTAACATTTTAATGAAAATGTCGGCTATTCTAATACATGCACGCCAAAAATTATTCTTTTAATTAAATCCGTCGACGCATGCAAAGGGTCGAAATTGCGTATATTATTTAAAAGGCACACATCTTCCAAAAACCGAATGTTTGCTTGTCAGTACGAGAGAGCTATGGTTAGATACATGAAAGAGTGTGTTGTAGGGGTAAACCTACTGAGAGTCTCAAGCGAGACACTTCTTCGGGCGCTGCCATTGCTTACCCTTAGTAAACAGCCAAACTAAAGCAGTCAAGGCGAGATTCGGCGTCTGATGTGTTAAGTTTCTACAACATAAAAAGTTAAGTTGCATGATTAATGTGCTGTCTTCTTCTGGAATTTGGTTGCCCATGAAACTCAGACAAATGACAAAAGTAAATGCTTGGATTTATAATAACCGGCAGTAATGTGGGCGTTTATTAATCATTTAAAAACATCCTGTGAAAAAGCGCATTTTCAGCCCCAGACGGAAGTCTTGATTAAAGATAAAAATGAAGCAACTGTCTCAATTAGGCGGATTAAACCAAGCGAGACGATTTGTCACATGCTCTAAAGACCACCCTGGGAGAGGGTGACTTTTTGCCTGTGCTACAGAATGTTTTGCTAAAATGCTATTCAAAGTGCCTTGTGCGACAAAACCGATTAAATCAGTCTTGTATAAGAGAAGTTAAAAAAGAATAGGCCGGAGCAGCTAGTCAAGTTTGCGTTTCACGATCGTGGTTCTAGACAGCAAAATGAAAGACGAGCAAGAGGCAGTGGAAATAGGCTGCCAATATTTGAAGGAATATTCGACGGATTGGATGAGGAATCCAAAGAAAGGCTTGTCTCGAAAATGCAAAGTTGTCCGCCAACACTTGACATTAAATATTACTGTAGACAAAAAGTTCACAGTATCTCAAATTCATGCATGAAGAAATTGTAGCAACCTCCGAGCAGCTGCTTTTTCGAAATAACCAACGGAGTTGTTTAAAGCATTGGTGCGCACTTTGCGGCACCAGATGAGATGTAGCAGTCTGTTTACTGCGCAGATATAAGCTCTGACATTTGCTGATAACATCTTCGGTAGTCATGATCACTCGCCAACCTCGATTGTTCGTACCACAACGGGTTTCTTTTCTAAGACTATGAGAAAAATGGCTGTCTCACCCTGCCAATTGTTCTGTTTTCCTCAACTTTTCGTTACTACCGTAAAGATATTTCTACATACTGTTGCACAAAAATTCGGTGAACTGAAATTCAGATTGACAAAGTTAAGAGATCCGGAAAGATTATTTGAAGTATAAAATATGTTCTCCGGAACAGGTTTATTTAACTGCTGACGTTTCAAAGAGCTGGGGCGACTCTTTATTGTCAAAGCGTAAAATGCACTTCATCGATCAGAATTTTAACTTAAAGTGGCATCTTGTGTTGGTCAGCCATATGCTGATTGACTTTTTTCTTTTCCTCTCGCTGCCTCAGCGTCTCGGAAGATGGTGGACGGGCGTTTTGCCTGTGTGCTTTGCGAGTCACCACTCCGTCGAGGGGAGCTGAGTGAAGCTCTGTTGGACGGTCGGTCTGGCGGTTCTTGTTCTTCTTCACCGAGTAGAGTCAGCGTCAGACTTTCGACGTAGGGCGTTTCCTAAGTCCGGTGTGGTTGTTTGGTCCTGAGCTCTACGATTGTGATGACGTAGGGCTTTGTAAGCTGCGGGAAGGTCCAGATGCCTGTTGATAGAATGGGCATCGGAGAACCACGACTTGAGATTTAGCCGTTCTGCTTTTGTTTTGCCTCGGCCTAAGATGGTAGTCCTCTGGAGGTCAAAAGTATGCCCTGTTTCTCCAACGTATGTTGCTAGTTGAGAGTTAGGGTGTAACCTCTGAGTGGCCGATTTGTGCTCTTGTTGGCAAGTTTGCAATTTCCGTCCGGTTTCGCCCAAATTGTTGTAGTCGCCCTCATTGCAATTTATTTTGTAAATGACCACTGAGGTTTCAGCTAGTGGCAATGGGTCCTTGGGTTGCACCAGGCGACGTCAAATTTTTGCTTGTTGTCGATGGGCTATGCCTACTCTGGTGGGTTGCAACAGTCGTGAGACCGCTTCAGAGACCCCTTTGACGTAGGGAATGGCCCTCCAGACTCCGGGTTGCTGTTCATTTGGCCGTCGTCTGGGCGTCCAACGTCTGCTTCTCTCAATGAAATGTCTGGGATAACCATTGGCTGCAAATGGGTTCACAAGGTTCAATTGTTCGGCACTTTTTTTTCAATCGCACCACCCTCTTAAAAAAGATTCTTAGTCAACGAGTGATCTGATCACTTGGACTTTACACGCAAATCCTCTTTGACGTATGCGCGGAAGACTTCTATAGAGATTGTTTGCCAAGTTTATTAATGTTTTTCCAGTCATTTGAAAATATACTCAAGTGTGATTTTGAAAATGGCATGGTCCCGAGATTTTAGTTCTCGAACACTGCTAGTTTCACTTCTGCTAAAGCATTGAATTCTTGCAATAGTCACTTTCCTACGGTGCTGCCCCATAAACAACAGAAACAAAGGAAAATGTGAACTTGATATTGTTGCGATTTTTTAAACAATTCATTTGACCTTGATAGGGCTCAAACTCATGGCAGCAAGGACAAGGCTTAAGCATAACCACTGCCCAGTCATTTGAGCTAGGAGGCCTCAGCGAGAGACGCAAGTTACATCACATTTTGATCAACTTACCTGCCAGCCTACCGTATCTTACACGATCCACCAATTCAGAGACAGTAATCGTACTGGCGAAATAGGATTTCGCAGGCCCAGTCCTTGTTTCCATATTTGCACAAAATCACAGACGCAAAGTTTTTCCCAACTGAGTCAAATCAGCTTTGTTCTGACACAGTCAAAGGGCCACTTAATAGCAATCTGCACTACGTGCGGAATAATCTGGTTCTCACAGTTTCTTGGCGCCTGGCACTGTACAGGGTAAGCGTATTGTGTGTAGCTCAAGTTGATATCACATCCTTGACCTCGACTCATTGGTGACTTCGACGTAATCAAAATCTCAGCCACCTGTCGCGACTAAACTTAGCCGTCACAAAATCCCTAATCGAATTCGTCGTGCTTTTCCTGCGTCACTCAATGTGCCCATGAACAAGAAAACGAGGCTGTAGACACCCTGCTGCATATTAAGATAGATGCTAACAACAAAACTCAGTCATGCAAGTGAAGGTCAAACCCCAGTCATATTGTGTAAAGCAATCATGCAAACATGCTACCATCCGAACATATACCTTTTTGTCTGAAACATTCCTTCGCCTGTTACCAACGAAACGACTATTCGTGAGTCATTTTCATACATTCAGCATGCTACTATGTACAAAACGATGAAATTTGGTACGTTAGACACTGTATTCTATCCCAAATACAGTGCGCCTATTTCACCGGCGCATCTTATTGTCTCAGCCCTCACGAGGATAGACCGTTCCTGAAATGTCCTTTCCTCTTTCACCAGTGCATCAACTCAACGACATACGTTGATGGGACCGAGCAAACACACCCCTGGCCGATGCCTCAAATGAAGCGCTGCACAAATTACAACATCACCCTCGTACGCGATCCGATCAACCCTAGTCATTACCGACACATGCTTTCAAACCCGCTGGTCCACTAAATCAATTTATTGATTTTGTAATTCGCCTCACAACCAACGCCATCAATTTGTTTTGCGTCTGAAGAGGAGCTGTTGCCAACAGCCAATATTGTCCTGTCTGACGTCCCTGGCGCGTTAAGGCCACTCACCTTTGTAGCCTGCAGTTCCAGACAAGGTGACCTGTAGTCACTGTACCGACTCCAAAGTGGACGCTTGTGCGTCCAAGGAGTCACAGCTGCCGATGTGCCACTTGAACACACCATCCGCCTTCAAAAGCAATACAAGCGACTAGAACACCACCACTCGGTAAGTGTAACACACACGCTGGTTTTCAGACACCACAGACAGAAATTCTGGGCTCGGTATGTGGATGACACCTTCGCCGTCATCGAACGGGATCAGGTGCTGGCATTCAAAGAACATCTCAACGCCGTCTTACCGGACATTCAATTTACGATGGAGGAGAAGGAGGAGGAGGAGGAGGAGGAAGAGGAGGGGGAGGAGGAGGAGGAGGAGGAGGAGGAAAACAACCAGCTGTCCATCCTAGAAGTCCTCGTCCGCCGCAAAGATTGTGGTGGCCTAAAAACCAAAGTGTTCAGGAAAGCGACAAATACGACGCAAATACTGAAGTTCAATAGAAACCACCCGATTAGTCACAAACGGATTTGCGTAAGGGCGCTATACCGACGCGTTGAGACGCACTGCAATGAAATGGAAGACAAGGTTGCTGAATTAAAATATCTTTGACGGGTACTGAGAGTCAATGGTTACCCGCACAACTTTGTCAACCAGTGCCTACGTAAAGGACACCAGAGACCAAATCCAACCGGTCCCAAATTTTGGCGGGCGCGAGAGTGCACAGCAGCAATAAGGCGGGGAGATGCAAACTCTAAGATGGCGGCACAGTCGACGGGATCCGGCCATATTTTCAAACTTCAATAGACCGAAATCCTCGCAGGAGATGACAATCGCGTGAGCCGCGAGCATCTCGAGTCATGGTTCTCAGGCCCGCAATCCATAAACAAGCACAATGACCTCCCGGTACCATATTCTGTGTTGAGAATTTCCCTGGTCAGGGGAATCAGTCACGTGGGGAGGGCGCGGGTGAGCAATTATCACGGTGACAGTGAGCCAGTTTGCCGAACAATCGTCATACCAGCATCCAGTACGGATGGCGAAATCATGGCCATTAACGACTCGGACTCGGACTGACAAGCCACCACCGCATCAATTACGACCGCAGCGGTGATTGCGAGAACAGTTAATTGTAGTGCGTATACGGTCCCACTTGCCATAAATACTGCACGTCATGTGCCACCATCACCTTTATCTGCGAATGTATCTGATGATGGATTCGAGTGAGAATCCTAAACGTCAGGCCAATTTCTTGTTCGAGTTATCGCATCTTCGTCTTCTGAACTGCTACCTGGAACTCGCCTGTTTGCTTCTATCAGTAACACACAAACGCACTATTTGGACACAACCTGAAATTTTCCACCAACCTATAAAAGCCACTGTCACTACTATCTCAGGAACTCTCAGCCACGAGTGGACGCAGTCAACACCAACCCTGACTTCTCCAATAGGCACTTCTGTCTGAGAATGCAGCCCACAGTTCTGTATTGGTGACCTTTGTCTTCTCCCATAACTCAGGATTTGACCTGAGGATCGAAGTGATCTAAGCGCTGACTCACTGCTGAGACACTGCATGTCTTCCTAGAGTTGTTAATATTCCCGATCGCAGTTGACAGGGAGACGAACCCCTGGCTCGTAAGCTAAATCAATGGATCAAAGATCCCCTGTTCGAATCTCAGGTACTCTGTGCCCGGGATTGGGTGGCGCTAACTGACGACGGCCAATATGCCTGAAATGACCATTTGAAGAAAAAGATGACTTACCGGAACGGGTTTATTTAGATGTTGACGGTTCGATGGGCTCGGTTGGCCTCTCCATTGCCAAAGCGTAAAATGCACTTAATCGACCAGAAATCACAAGTGAAATGTCACGTTAGTCGGCCTCATGTTGATAGATTTTTCTCTCTTCTCGCTGCCTTGGCCTCTCGAGGATGTTTGACGGACGTTTTGTCCGCGTGCTGTGTGAGTCACCTCTCCGTGAGGAAGGGGTAAATGAACCATTGTCAGGTTGTCGGTCTGGTGATTTTTCTTTTTCCTCACCGAACAAACTCGCCGTCGTTCTTTCTCCGTATGGCCGTCTTAAGTCCGATGTGGTTGCTTGGTCCTGAGCTCTAAGATCTTGATGACATAGGACTTTGTGAGCTGCAGGAAGGTCCAGATGCCTGTTAGTGGAATGAACATCGGAGTACCACGCCTCGAGAATTAACCGTTCTGCTTTTGTTTTGCCCTGACCTAAGAAGGTAGCTCCCTGAAGATTGAAAGTATGCCCAGTTCCTCAAACCTGCGCTGTTAGTTGAAAGTTAGGGTCTTAACTCCGAGTGGCCAATTTGTGCTCTTGTAGGCGAGTCTGCACACGCAAACGACGGCCAAATGGGTAACAACCAGAAGTCTGGAGGATCATTCCCTACGTTTAAGGTGTCTCTGAGGCGTTCTCTCGACTGTTACAACCCGCCAGAGTGGGCATAGCCCATCGACTCCAGGTCCCAATTCGACGTCGTCTGATTCAACCTAAGGACCCATTACCAACCACCGAAACCTCGGCAATCATCTAAAAAATGAATTGCAATGAGGGCGACTGCAACTATCTGCGAGAAACCGGGCGGAAATTGCAGACTCGTCTATAAGAGTGCTAATCGGCCACTCGGAGGTTAGACCCTAACTCTCAACTAGCAACACATGTTGGAGAAACTGAGCATGCTTTTGATCTCCAGAGAGCTTCCACAAAACACGCAGACGAAACGCCCGTCAATTATCCCCGAGAGGCCGAGGCAGCGAGAGGAGAGAAAAATCGATCAGCATGAGGCCGACCAAGGTGCCATGCGACTGCGGATTCCCGGTCGATTAAGTGAATATTACGCTTTAATAATAGAGAAGCCAACTAAGTTCTTCGAAACGTCGGCATCTAAATAGACCTCTTCCGACAAGCCATCGTTTTCTTCAAATCATCAACCCGGATTCCACAGCTTTGCCAATCTAGACAGAATTCACCATCCCAATCTCCCGTTGGGATCGACACTTGTTTCGCCGGATAATCCTGGTCGGTGTGTGGGCGTTTGCGAAATCTCTACATTGAGCCCCAAGACACAACGAACGAGCATAACCCGTAGTCCGACTCATAGACGGTCTTCCATCACAGCTAATAAATGCGTAAATGCCAGGATGGAATGCAGAGTTTGTGCTTTCATGATGTTTGTCCTAGACCTTGAATGTCCCTAGGCTGTTCTTGGGGTTACTATGGAAGCAGACGGTCTAACAGGAAGAGATAGAAATGCCTTATTCATTATCGTAGTCCACAAACGTACGGAAGCCATAAAGACAAACAACAACCTGTGACAACTGCAATTCTGTTACATGAACAAGTAAAAATCGTGCACATTTTTACAAAACACTTTCCTTCCCACTCAAAATAGGCGCAGGGTTCGTCATGTCTCCGCATTCGCATGACGTAATGCCACCGCCCATGCGTCTTCAGCCTTCAGACGACTGTTTATAGTTTAGTAGGAAAGCAACAAATTAAATTGGTGCAACGTCGACAAAACAAAACCGGACTTATTTAACGTAAATTCTATGCAAACGGTTAACCAAATACTGTCCACGGCAGGGATGAATCCACTACTGTTTACGCCTTCACATTTAACAGTGGCGTTCGCTGTACGCAGCAAACCTTTTCAACAGACGCTTTAGAGACCTAAATTCTGGCTCAAAACACGGACTTCGGCTTAGAATTCGCCATGCGACACGACCGTGGGTGGTTTAGTGCCGAAGAAATTGTTGATCTGAAGCACATACTATTTTTGTGCGACTTGTTTGAACATTGCTCGGTTTTATGTGCCAGGTGGTGGTATTTGCTTTACATGGATGTTTACAGTGAGGGTTGACCATGGCAAGTTCTGGGCTGGTGGACTTACGGCAAGTTAGTCCTTTCCCAACTAGATTATGCAGAGCTATTTGACCATAGGTAGTCTGTCCGAGATCCCCCGGACAGCGCTGAACGCTCGCTAGTTCCTCACGCAGAAGCGGACAATCTCGAAACAGCAGTGTCGGGGCCTTGTACAGTTTTTATGTCTGAAGAATTGTGGCCAACTTTTCGGGAGAAGTCAACACTGCTTAAGCTGTGCCACTGCTTATGCAGTACGCTATAAACAAATTGCATAGATTTAGTAAATTACACTAAGAAAATTCAATATTACTTCCATCTTTTGTTATGTACTTGGGGTGTATTTTGTCGGACGGCAAATCAGTTACCTGTTTGATGAACAGTTTTAAACATTCATTCTGTTTACAGTTATCACATAGAAACTGCATTTTGTGAAAGGACCTTCTTCAAAAAATTGCGTGGGACTTCCCAAAATACCATTTTCTCTCAAGACTGATAACCTACCATGATGCAAAAATGACCGATGACTTAAAGCATATTGAACCTGCCATTTGGGTATGAATGGTTGTTTTTTTCTAGATGCTGATGAAAGTTTGGTCGACTGAATGCAGAAGACGGCATATGGTTTATTGTTTCCCCCTGTTCTGCTTCGAATCTGTTGACATCGTTCTTAATAGATTTCGGACAGAAATCATACTTACTTTTATGTTTTTTTGCTTCTACTGGACACAGGACGCGTGGTAACTAATAAGGCATTCGAAGTCTACGTCTTTTAGAAGTAGCCTCAGACCGCGTCTAGAGCTGATAAGATGGGTCTTGCATAACCGAGCAGTTAATCGCGCAGGATACATGCCATCTACTATAAAAACGAGAACGGAGGACTGGAATAGGCAGATGATCAAGAATCAAGACAAAACCCACTTCACATTTACTTTCCGACTAGACCTGAGTTACAGTTGTCTGAATACTGTAAACAAGCGAGCCCCGATCACTGCAGTTCCTCTGTCTTATGACAGGTTCCCTTGTGAAGAGGCGTTGGGTGTTGCTGACGAAAATAGGCCACATAAAAGGGCATAAACAAAGAAATCGGCACTAGCCTACCCAGAACGACTGTTTTGATGGAGTTTCAACCCAAAACTGCCTTTCGGTATTTACTCTCTGTGAAAAAAATGCGAATGCCGTTTTCGCCAAGGCAGGGGAAACAGAAACATGGAAACAGCTGATGTCTTTGGTCTTATCATTTAACTTGCATTTCCTTTGACTTATCTGTAGGCAAATGGAAGTGACGTAAGTTATGTCGCTCCCGCGAACTAACGAACTACGGCTTACTAACCTCATAAACGGAGAGAGGTAAGGAAGGCCAGTAAGTGAATAAAGTTAATATTCAAAATGGTTAACGACCTGACAAGAGAGCATACAAGCGGCGCGAAGCTTACAAGCGGCGGAGTCCTCGTCACGTTAAAACAAATGCTACAGTAAAACAAACGTGACAAGATTGTCAAAGGTCAAGTAGTCAAGCACCTCAGCACAGTACCCCCCTCCGAGACCGGAGGGCGGCTTGAACGACGCCGGAGGACATACAAAGGTCTAGGAGAAATGAGTAACTAGACGATCGGGAAAGTGAACGTGACGTCCACTGCGGGTGATATATGCGGGAGGCACTGTTGGAGGCAGCTGAGTAGGTGTTGTAGTGGACAAGTTAAGGGCGGAGGAAGAGGTTGCAGTTTGATGCTGCGAACAAGAAGGAAGAGGAAGTATACGGGACGGAGGGATAGGTGGGGAAAGTGGAAAAGGAGTGGGAGGAGGTATGGGGTCAGCACATGTTTGTCCTTGAGACACGTCCGGGGGCTTCTCTGCAACAGCAGCCTTGAACCGGTCGATGCTGACTACGTCCTCTTTGTCACCTCGCAGGATCCGAAAGGTCTTGCTGTTACGTGCAAGCACACGAAACGGTCCTTCGTATGGTGATTCTAACGGCTTCCGCACACGATCACACCGAACGAACACATGGGTGCAGTTGGCTAAGCCTTCTTCAACATAAGGCTCGGTCGATGGAGCTCGAGGTGGAACCGGGGAAATCGAGCGCATGAATTGTCGCAGACGATGCACAAAATTTTCGGGGATCTCTTCGGCAACACGAGAGGTTGGGGTGACCATCTCACCAGGGAGTCAGAGGGTAGTGCCAAAAACCAATTCGGCTGCGCTGCAGTCCAAGTCTGACTTCAGTGCCGCACGAATGCCAAGAAGTGCAACGGGTACATTGTCTGACCAGTTTTCGGGATCTTCTGCGGCACGCAGAGCAGTTTTTAGCTGGCGGTGGAAACGCTCAACCATGCCGTTGGCAGCTGGGTGGTAGGCCGTCGTCCGGATACGTGTGCAGCCAAGGAAGTTGAGGAGAGTTTGGAAAAGTGTGGACTCAAACTGCGCGCCTCGATCAGTCGTAATCATGGATGGCGCACCGAATATGGCGACCGAACGACTGATGAAGGCTTTCAAAATGGTCTCAGCTTGCGCATTCGGTAAAGGAATGGCTTCCGCCCAACGAGTATAGCGATCAACGCAGGTGAGAATGTGAGTATAGCCATTGGATGGAAGTAAAGGACCTACGACATCTAAATGCACATGGTTTAACCGTGCATCGGGGCTGGGGAACGTGTCCGATGGAGACTTGTTGTGGTGTTGAACCTTGTTACGTTGACATCAAAGGCACGATCGTGTCCAAGCTTTCACATCCTTGTTCAACCCAGGCCATACGAAACTTTCCGTGAGGAGCTTCTGTAAGGCTCGAATCCCAGGATGGGAGAGTCCGTGGAGATTTTGAAAAACAGCTCGTCGCATCGAGGCAGGCACATAAGGACGATGAAAAGGAGTCGATACGTCACAAAGGATTGTGCCAGTGCCGGTGGTCAATGGGACGTCAACTAATTGAAGACTGTCAACAGACTCGTCGCCAGGGCATCCAACACGTCGTTGTTCAGCCGCCATAGCACCAAGATCAATCCCGTGTGAGAGGTGAAACGCCGAGAGGGAAGGTCTGGACAGCATGTCGGCCACCGCATGCTTCGGGCCATCAATGTGGCGTATGTCGATGGTGAATTGCGAGATGTAATCCAAATGAGAAATCCCCCTCGGGTTATATTTGTCAAAATTGAATCGGATAGCAAATGTAAGTGGTTTGTGGTCTGTGAAAATTGTGAAGTCACGACCCTCAAGGAAGTGTCGGAAATGTTTTACGGCTAGGTAAATGGCAAGAAGTTCACGGCCAAACGTGCTATATCACGTCTCCGCAGGTGAAAGCTTCTTGGAGAAGAATGCCAACGGTCGTGTCGAGTCGTTGATATGCTGTTGGAGGACTGCTCCTATGGCAACGGTCGAAGCATCAACCATCTGGGACAGTGGGGCTTCTGAAGCAGGATGAGTGAGCAAGGTAGCATCAGCAAGGGAGGTCTTTGTTCTCTCAAAAGCAGTCAGCGCGTGGCCACGTAACACAAGGGGACCCTTGGGACCAGAGAGCAAGTTGGTGAGTGGCATCATAAGGTCGGCACAGTTCGGTAGGAACCGGCGATAAATGTTTACCATGCCAAGGAAACGTTGCAACTGACGCTTGGAGGTTGGTGGAGGAAAGTCACGAATGACCTCAACCTTGGAAGAGAGGGGACGCAAACCTTGTGCATCGACATGGTGACCAAGAAAATCAAGGAGCGGCACACCCAGAACACACTTCGAAGGGTTAATGACCACGCCAAACTGATCGAGGCGGTCAAACACTAAGGCAAGATGCTCTTTGTGTTCCTCGGCATTTCGAGTGGCCACCAAGAGGTCATCGATGTAGGCCTACACAAACGGGAGACCACGTAGGACTCGGTAATTAACCTCTGAAATGTTTGGGCAGCATTGCGAAGACCAAATGGCATGCGAATAAATTCGAACAGGCCGAATGGTGTGGTGACGGCAGTTTTGGGAACATCCTCAGGAGCGACAGGAATCTGATGGAAGGCCCGAACAAGATCAATCTTCGAGAAAACCGATTTGTTGAAAAGAGCTCCAGCAAAATCTTGAAGATGAGGGACGGGATAACGATCCGGGATGGTCGCATTGTTGAGGGCGCGATAGTCACCACAGGGTCGCCAGTCGTCTGATGTCGCCTTGGGCACCATATGCAGAGGGGACGCCCATGGACTCTTGGACGGGCTAATTATGCCCAATTGCAGCACGTGCTCAAATTCGGCCTTCGCCGCTTGCAGACGGGACGGAGCCGGTCGTCTAGGCCGTGCGAATACTGGGAGGCCAGAGGTGCGAATGTGGTGGACAACGTCATGCTGGATCTCACCACTGCGAAACTGGGGTTTGATTATGTTGGGGTGTTGGAGGAGCAGGTCTCGGTATCGGCAAGCAATACCTGTGTCCAGAACAGATAAATTGCTGGAGTCATTAAAGGGTGTAAGACCGCGGACAGAAAGACCAGTTGTGCGGTCGAGAAGACAGGAACGCCGACAGTCAACAAGGAGATCAAACTCGGCTAGGAAGTCGGAACCAAGGATCGCATGAGGCACATCAGCAATCACAAATATCCAGGAGAATGATCGACGTAAACCAGTGTTTAGATTTAGGGAACGACTACCAAAAGTGGAAATGGGGGAACAGTTTGCAGCTTAGGGATGTAGACCATGGCTGGGACAGCGGCGGTCAACTGGAGTGGGGGGAACCACGCTGATCTGTGCTCCGCTGTCCACCAGGAAACGCCTGCGAGTCACATTGTCGCAGACATAAAAGGTGCGATCAGAGCTGGGAGAGCCGGAGAAAACGGTCGCGTCTATTCTCTGGCTGGCTGGTTTCCCTGTTTCGGTTTAAATGAACAAGGGGAAGAACATTTGCGAGCCTTGGCGGCAAAGTTTGCGTGATACCAACACAAATTGGCTGTGCGAGGTCGCGAACGTGAACGATGACGGCTGGGTGAACGACTAAAGGTAATGCGAGCAAGCCGTAGTTTTAGGGAGGCTATCTCATTCACCATAGCCAACATCTGTTGCAGTAACTGCTCGTTAACCGTTGAAGAGGATGTGGAAACCTAAGCAAAGGAACTTGGCTGAAACCGTTGAACCTCTATCATTCGGCCTGCCATTTCATCAAGATGTGAAAGTGTAAGGTCTTGCGAGCCGGATGCCAAAATCGTTTGGACATCTGCAGGCAGCCGCTCTAGAAACATCTCTTTAACGAGTTTCTCGTCGACCTGCATGTCTCCTAAGAGAGTACGCATTCGTCGGAGAAGTTCTGAGGGCTTTCGGTTGCCCAGTGATTCCTCCTTGATCAAATGGTGGTAGCGTTTTCGGTCAGATACAGCATTGAGACGAAGGATTTCCGCCTTCAGAGCAGAATAGGGAGCGTCTGCAGGGGGCTTCACGAACAAGGGTTGAACTTGTGAGATAATATTGGCAGGGAGAACCTCCACAAGTTTGTGGTATTTCGACAACTCCTACGTAATGTTGGCGGAGTAAAAGGCTGATCAATACGGATAAAATAAAGTTAAGGGACGTGTTGCCAAAAACCAGGCAAAGTGAAATGGACGGCATGAACAGACTCGGCAGGAACGTCAGGGTGTTGAGTTGAGGAAGACATAATAAGGAAAATATAGGTAGCACAATATCGTGCAAAGGTTAGCGGGAAATGTAAATGAACTAAAATTTAAAAAATAAATACAGGACGTTAAATGACATTAAATGTTACAGAAGGAAAGAACTTAAGTCTGCGCTAACGTCCGGAGTCACCAATGACGTAAGTTATGTCGTTCCCGCGAACCAACAACCTACGGCTTACTAACCTCATAAACGGAGAGAGGTAAGGAAGGCCAGTAAGTGAATAAAGTTAATATTCAAAATGTGCAACGACCTGAACAGAGAGCATGCAAGCGGCGCGAAGCTTACAAGCGGCGGAGTCCTCGTCAAGTTAAAATAAATGCTACAGTAAAACAAACGTGACAAGATTGTCAAAGGTCAAGTAGTCAAGTACTTCAGCACAGAAGCAGGGATCAAATCATTGCTGGACTAACGAGAGATACAATTAAAGGATTAAGTCAGTGCGAAAAGTGTCAGTTGGATTCTCTGAGCTGTCAGCTCCAAACGGGAAACTATCATAAGGGATTTCAACGCAGAAGCGGGAAACACGACAGTTAAGAGTCCAAAGAGTCAAATAAGGACCAGAGTTTTTGGTAAGCAGGACGTCAATTAGGATGACGAATGCATGCTACTTGATAATACGCTGTTTCATTAAGCTGACTCCTTAGACATCCACTAGCTAACATTGTGTTTAAAAAATTAGTCCGAGCTCTAATTAAATTCGTTTACAAGCTTTATGCAATTTTACCAGATCTTTTGACTAACTAGGTAAGCAATTGAGAATATCAGATAAGTGAAAAGGTGTGTTTTAGGAGGACAACCACGAAAATTCGAGACCTCTTTGACGAAATATGCTGGCGAGCCGACATTCTCAGCAGTCTGGTCGAGCAATTGTAACCGCCTGCGGCCGCTTGACCGGTATAATCTGCATTGGTAATACCTTAAGGCATGCTGGTTGATAAAACAAATACCTGACAATACGTCTCCGAATTGTTTTGACATGGAATTAGCTATTGGCGAGTTATCAGGGTATTTGTATATTCGCTGCATAGTCATGAGGTTTGCAAGATATGCTACGGTATCCACGCTATCAACAATTGCTCATGCAGATGATTCTGCAAGAACCATTAATTTTTAACGAAGTTGCTTTCGCTCTTACCAGGGAAGAAATTTTGGAATACTGATAGGGTATTAAAATACAGAAATCTGTCCTTTGGAAGTATATTGCGGTTTCGAAATTTTATAAGTGCCGCGCACAGGGCGTCTTGTCTTTCCCAAACCTAATCTGCAATTCTTCTCTGCGCAGATCAGAAAAGTGTACGCAAGGACTTGAATCTGATATTAACCCAGTAAGTCAAGTTAATAAAAATTCCCTTTCATAAAACCTGCAGTTAAGTCTATTTGCCCCATTATTGTGGGTATTACCATATGCGCACACTAAGACCTTTTGAAGTTTTCTGATTAGACTGAGAACTATCAATCCCTGGATGTAAACATGACTTATTGAAAAACCACACTTTCTGAACTGCGAAATGTAATCACAAAAAAGAGATATTTATCGGCTAAAAACCAGCCATATGTCATTGATGAGTGCGTTTAATTCTCCTGGACGTCAGGCATTTTCGGCTTTTTTAGCACACCCTATTGGATAGTCTGGAGAAACTAACTTGTCCAATCGCGCGCGGCCAGTAAGTTCATGGCCTCCGCCAAGCACCTGCCGATACATTCAAGGAAATGTTATTGTAGGGTACTTCGCATTTCATCTGTCCGCATTTAAATATGAATTTCGAAGGCGTCGATAATGCGACCACAGTCTCCTTTTCAAATATAAGTGTGACCCTTTTTGAGAACCTATCCTTCCCCCCCACTGATGTCTTCAATCTTGGCATGAAGATTGGGATCACACTGCCGTACATTCCACTAATGATCATTTCCCTCATCGGCAATGCTTTGGTGTGTTTCGTGATACAGCACCATTTGCAGCACTCCGTGACAAACATATTTCTTTTCAACCTCAGTATCACCGATATCCTGACGACGCTAGCGGTCATTCCAATCACGACGGTGGCCGATGTTTGGCTCACCTACTGGCCTTTTGGGGCTGCCATGTGCAAACTGATTCCCTTCATACAGTGTCTCACCGTTACCCTGACCGCGTTCACTCATGTATTAATATCCTGCGACAGATTTGCCATTGTTTTTCGGCCACTTCAGAGACGGCGTTTTCTGACCTTGCGTCGTGCTAAGATCATTGTTGGATTTATCTGGCTGTTCGCTGCCATTCAGGCTTCTCCGTTAGCCGTTGTAGGCTACCTTCAGAACGGCACATATCCGCGGTGTGCTGAGTCATGGGACGCCCAACGCAGTCAGGTCTACGGACTGACTTTGTTGGGTTTACAATATTTTCTTCCTTTGACTCTACTTATCTGCTCTTATACAACAATCTCACTGCGGTTAAATTCGAGCAGCTTGAGAGGAACCGCTGGAGGCAATAGGATTCATTCGGTTGCTCGGTCTAAGGGGAAGGTACGTTGGAAATTATTTTTACGGTTTTTTCGCCTCCATAACACTGCACCTACCTAAATACCAATAAGAGATCTACCGGACATTTGGGGCCTTCATGTACCCCAAAATGTTATGCCTACATAATATTCTAAATAAGCCAACATGCCTTAAACAATGCAAAGTTGACGGCGCATGGTAAACCAGTAGGCCGATAAAAATAGGGCTTGTTTTATTATAAAGTTTTGAATATTTATAGAGCTTCGTGCAGAAGTACAATTGAAATTTTATGCAGAATGTCAACTGTGCTATGATTTACACTTTGGGGACGCTGGTACATGGTTGCAAATGCAAACATTTTATGGATTATGTGAGTCCTGGGCTGTAATTGCGAACGGTTCTGGCAGTCAAAAACCTTCCACACGACGACAAATTGTCCTCGACATCACTCTGTCATTTTATAGTTGATCGCTTAAATAAAAAGCATTTCATTTCATAATGAAAACAAGGTACACACTTGTCTGGTAAAATGTTTTGTTAGATAATTTTGAAGGTAAAGGTTTATTTTTGTTCTCGGGCTTCATTTGTAAAAAGCTATATGGTTTAAAACTGGCCTTTATTGTATAAGACGTTAATGAGGTAAAAATAGTCTACTAAGTGATTATACTGAGCGGCAGTACTAGATGTCAGTACACTTGTACTAATGACTGGCAACACCTACGGTGTCCGTCAGAATTAGACAAAAACAACTCAAAAGTTAAAAGTCAATCTCAGATCCGCAATCCTAATCGAAGTATTACTCCGCAGTATGCATTCATAACATGAAGGACACATATTCGAATGCAGTTTGAACTTCACATTTCCCATAAAACAAGCGAATAAGTTAGGTTCCTCTATTAACGTCTTGAAACCTACTTGGAAGAACATTAATGAGAAGGGAAAATGTTATGAGTGGAACAAACCGCCTGTTTTACCGGATCTCTAAAATACTACTGAAAGGCTGCTGAGTAAAAAGAAAAAAATAAATGCAGAATGGCAAAAGTGACGACGATAAAGGTGAAAGCATGGAATTCCTGCGAGGATTTTGGTTCTTTAGGGGGTCGACAGCATTTCCTGCGGGTTAATTGGTAGATATTCCAGTTCTGTAATTGCAGAATTTTAATTCTTTAGAGATTATTCGCCAAATCTAAGTACATCGGTTTTCTTGAGACAAATAAGCTTGGATAAAACTTTGATATAAGTCTCCCGGCCAAAGTTTATCAGCCGCCTATCCGCAGAATAACCACCTTGTATTCATAAACAGCCGACAGACTTCCAGTATTGCAAACTGCGATAGCAATGTATACCATGCCAGGTAGCACAGGCACTAGCCGAAATGCGAGACAAGGGTTTAGCCGATATTCTGCTGTTCTATGGCAGAGCTGCAAAGGGTTTATCTCATCCTATCTAAGTATATACAGTAGATGTGCTAACTCATGAAATTGCAACCGAAATTTCAAAATGCGTTCTCGTTTCGAAAAGATAAATTAAGTAGTGTTGTAAAACTAATCATGATGCAGCATAAATTTAGAATAATCCAGTTACCACAGGATGTCAGCTTTCGAAAGAACTTATATTGGCTACATGCAGGATCCATAATCTGCAAAAATGACTACTTATGTAGCATGTAACTCTCTCATTGATTTTCGAGGCCTTTGAAAATTCAATTATATTTCATAAAAGACATGCATAAAAATTCATTTTTTTACTTTTTCGGTAGAAATTCACGTCTTCTTCCAGCTTCATACTCAAACGAAGAGTATAATTCGGTTTTAAAAAAGTTTCTTATTGTGAGATTTTTTAATACCGTTAAATGGCCGTTCATAAAACGTCATGTATCTGTATTTAAGAATGTAGCTTGCAAAGTTAATAATATTGCTCAAATCCACTGCTTAATTTCATGAACCACATATGGTCTCCTCTTAACACCGTAGAAGACTGCATGGTTTTCCATACACGGGAAATATACAGCTTGTAGTTTTGAAACCCTGAATGCAAGTGTAACATCAGGTCTGGTTCAAAATTATTCGGGAATTCGAGAAGTTATTTAAAATATAATTATTCTATTCTTTTGAGTATGAAATTGGAAGAAGCCGTGATTTTCTACTGAACGAGTAAAACAATGAATATTTTATGCATGTTTTCCATGAAATATACTTGAATGTTCAAGGACATCGAAAATCAATGAGAAAATTGCATACTTCTTAAGTAGTCATTTTTTGCAGAGTATAGATTTGGCGTGAAGCCAAAATGAGTTCTTTCGAAAACGGACAGCCTGAGGTAACTGGATCATTATAGATTAATGCCGCATAATGATTAGTTTTACAACACTACTTATTTATCTTTTCGAAACGAGAACGCATTTCAAAATTTTAGTCGACATTTCATGAGTTAGCACATCTACTGCACTACCAGATGCCTGTTGGCAGTTTTTAAATATTACCCGGCTATTCTGCAGTACCTGAGGAAATTCGGCCCAAATGTTTGTGTTAGATTTCAGTTTGAGCTTATAAGTCTCAAGCAGACTTATTAACTCAAAGTTAACGATTAATTTCTGGGGAAATCAATAATCTGCAATTCAAGAACTGGAACATCTACCAAAAAACACGCAGGAAATGCCTTAGGTCCACTGTTGAGACAAAATCCTCGCGTATATGCCATTCGGCGGCATAATATTTGCAAAGCACGTGTCTGGGCTCTTAGCTTTTGCTCATGCTGACACGTGTGGTATATCGTGCAATCTCAGTGTAACTGGTTCAACCAAAAATATCCTTTTATATATTCACGTCGTAGTAACTAAAAGGATTGAAATTTCGGCACTCAGAGATGGGGTGTTGTTTGTTTTCAAAGCTTTCAAATCGTGATATTTTTAGGATCGCAAAATGTCCGTTCATATAGCATGGAACATTGTCCACATCCATTGACACACTTTATAATCACTGTATAAAGTCTTGTTAGTAGGGTATGAAATTAAGTCTCCTTCTCGCGGAATATATTCAGTTTGTATTTTAGAGTTCCTAAGGGAAAATACAACGGTTGATAAGGTCCACATATATTTTAAAATTGCAAGGGTTTCCTGAAACCAAAGAACGCCTGCTCAATGAGAAATATATCTTAACGATGACATTAGCTGTTAATAGACAAGCATTAGAAACGGCCTTTTTGTCCTTTTTCGATGAAACATGTCAAATTATGTAAAAGCATCGAAAGTTTATATCTTAAAGTCATAACCAGGCGGTTTTTACAAAGTGCGGAATTCGAAGGCGGCCTAAACGTAGCTAACTGAGAAGCCAGCACTTTGATATGACAAAACATTTCGAGATTGTACTGCCAGATAATTAGCATTGCAGCCCAATTAAGTAATGCTTTCGAACTGCAAAAAATATCTTGCAGTTTTTGCTAACATTTGCTTAATTGAGCTATCTTCCACACAGATTCATTTTAACATTTGTCTTGATCGCGCTGAACTTCAGTTAAAGTGTTGGTCCTAATTAAGCGCTACCACATAGGGTTTGATGAGAAATGAAAAGACGATATCTGAGGCGTTTTTGTTGCATTGTAGCCTAAAAATCAAAGCCTATAATAATGTATTAAATATTTCAAGTCTATAAACAGTGCCACGATGACCGAATGCCTTCATAGCCAGTTGACTGCAATGTCGCAATTGTTATACTGAGCAAATTGTTCACATATAGGCTGATACTACGAAAGAAGATAATCATTTTTGTGCATGTGAGTTTTCACTTCGTAAAAAACCACACCCAAGATTCAAAAAGCATGTTTTATAAAAATGTATCCAATGGTAAAAAGATAAATGTTACGTTAGTAGGGTAATAGACTTTGAGAGTAAATTTGTCAACACATTGCCTCTGAACATCGGCACGCAAGTTTCCCACTGCTTAAGAGTAAAACCCTAAATTGGTTGTAGTCTAGGTTTTGGACAAGTCATTTTAGATACTGCTGCTTCCAGTGATATTAAATATTGGAAAAGCTGAAAGCGTTTTTGCTAGTTTGAGGACATCTGATAATGTTTAAGGCTTGCAGTATAAAACTGGAAAAGTCGCCCTGTTTTCAAGGGACACACGGGTTGAGGAGGAGGTTATCGCAGCATCCAGACATGTAAACACATTACCCTCACACGATATTCGGTAAAATTGTTAAAGCATAAAATTCACCGAAATTTAGAAAGCATTGCAAACTACTCGCAACCCGGAGTGATCGAATGAATCCAAGCTCCGAAATAATAATTACTGACTTTAAGAAGTCGAAAGCATAAAATGCTTTAACTTTATTCAAATTTAAAAATGTTTTGGAACGCGTTAGTTCCGAAAGCGCCATAAAATATTTGTCGCTGGGTAAGCTTAAGCTTTACGTGTACAGGATTCCTGTCTATACCAAAACGTGGACAAACAAAACAGCATTAGTCGATTAAGGCTTGAAGATTTTCATTACAGACGTTTGCACTTAAATATTTTCTAGAAATTGGTGTATCGTCAAGTATAACGGCTAGTTCATAACTCACAGTTTGTGCCTGAATCCTTAAAATGTTTTAGGAAAACTGGCCGCATTGCTATTAATTATGCGGCGCCTGAGGTGTGATTAAGTATGATGGAAATGAAGACTCATAAACTCGCCAATACGGACGTCACAGGGAAGAAGGCTTTATACGTTCAAATGTCGACGGGTCGTAACTGCATATGCAATCTTAAACACATCATTCTGTATGTACTTAGAAAATGTTCCTTCCATCAAATTGTCTTATAGCTTTACTTATGCTAGGATACGTTTCGTTTAAAAATAATGGCGAATATTTCACGAACTAATTTGCTTTCGATCGACTGTTAATCTTTGGATTACGTGATATGGTTAATCGAAATCGTTAAAATAAATATTCATTGAAATTCTCAGCAGAACAAGAGGGTGAGTTGATTTTTAATTCGATTCAGATGGTTAGCTGGGCTAAAGTTATTTTAATATGGATATGGAAAACTTATTCTCTAAGAAAAATGAGTGCGCACAGCATAATTAAGGCATAAAATATGCTCCCAATCGATTAAAAAAATTTTCTTATAAGGTACGGCTTTAATAATGCAGTTACCTGACGAATATCTGCATATTTTACCTTTTTTAAAGGCTAACGAGATAAAAAGGACACTCAATCGACTTTTTCGCCCTCTCAGAAACGATCAATAATCGTTCTTCTGCAAAAGGTGATAGTAGCTCCGTTAATATTGGAGGCATTCATGTAATAATTGCTCATGTTAAGGCTCCGTTTCACGATTATGAATGTACGGCCGGATGACCATGCTGATATTAAAATCATTCTTAACCTGATAAATGTCCGCCCGTAATATCTAAACTGCCCGTTTGTGAAAAGAAAACAATGCAAGCGTATCTAACCACTTGCTTAAAATGTAAAATTTTGCACTGGAATGAGGTCTTAAAAGTAAGTTATTGAGCGGTCGCAATGGACGAAAAAGTGTCAGAACGCCTTAAAAAATTGCTTGTAGGCGTCATCACTGGATTTTATGACATAAAATCACAGCTATTTGTAAATCTGTTTTTAAACTTAATATATCGTCTGCCTTTCTAAAAATGCCTTTCTCGCTTACGCCCTGCTCCAACTACTATGCGTAAAAATAATAAATTTTCAAGAAAATTAAGTTCTGCCTGACACAACTATCTAGGTTACAAAACTCACTTTAAACCAAAAACCCATCGATGCAGGAATTTGGTTTAGAAAATGTATTCGAATAGAAAACTGTTAGAAAACGTAGATTTCTACCCAAATCTGTAAACCATTTGGCTGACAAAATCATACATGAGCGTATTCTGCAACCAATAAGGACCCTTTTTGAAACGGGCCAGAAGCGCAAATATAATTCGCAGCTATTTAAGTGACTAGAATTGACCATCTTTATTTTCATTACCATATTTCAGGTTACGTACCACATGTAAAGTACGTGGGCCAGCTCAGAAAATTGCAACCGAAATTCGGAAATGCGTTTTCGTTTCGAAAAGATAAAGTGCGATTGTAAAACCAACCTTAATGTGGCATACTTCTGTAATAACACAGTGTTTTATTTTAACTGAACTTTTTTGGGGTGCACGCAAAACGTACACTGTATAAAAAAGTAGCTACTTATTTAGAATGCATTTTTCTCATTTTTTCGGTGCCCTGAAGAATGAAATTGTATTTCGTGGAAACATGCATAACCATTTATTCTCTTGCTCATTCGGTAGACAATTACGTCTTTTTTCAAGTTTATACAAGGAGGAAGGGTGTAATTCAGTTTCAAAAAGGTTTTATTTGTGAGATTTTTTAATACCATGAAACGATCGTTCATAAAACGTCGTGCCTCTCTATTTGGCAGCATGGCCTGTAAAGTTACCAGCATGGTTCATATCCGCTGTCAAATTTTATGAACCCCATATGGTCTTCTCCTTACACCGTATGCATGGTTTGCCTTACGGGAAAAATATTTGGCATGTAATTTGGAGACCATGAATGCAAGTGTAACGGCAGGTTGGGTTCAAAATGTATTCTGAATTTGAAAACTTTTAGAACCCATTTATTTCTTTATTTCAAGCATACATTTGGAAATGTCATTTTCTAACGAATGGGTAACGGATTGGATATTTTTATTTCAGTTTTTTTTATAAACTAATATAAACGTTCTGTGGACATCAAAAACCAAGGAGAAAAATGCGTGCTGATTAAGTGTTTAGCGTATCACGGCGTATATTGTTTGCTGTAGTCGGAATACAATTCGTTCAGTAGTCAATATCCTACGGTAAGTGAATTATTTTAGTATTACGCTGCACGATGATAAGTTTTATAAATCTATTTAATTAGTCTTTTCGAAAGGTAAACGCATTTCGAAATTTCAATTGCAATTTCATTAATTAACCCACCTATTGTACGTATGATCGTCCAAAAAAAACACACGTATAATACCCGCTGTGGCCTTTTTCAAACCTCAACAGCAACGAAATTTTCAGGGCTAGCGCTCTGGCCAACGGCAAAAACTCCGTTTTTAGACGAACACCAACTACTCCCACAGTTCGATTTCAAAGGAGTGTTCTATTTTTATTTCCAGTCACAACGTTTGCACTTCGTTTCTGCGCAAGTACGTCCTTGAGATAAAACCTTTTGGCTGCCAGCGCAAGTGCAGCGTCCACGTTTGTTTATTCAACAACCTGAAATTGCTCGGTGTTAATAAGATCATTTTAAGATTCGTAAATGGACACGGACTTAAATAACACCTTAGACGGAAAACACGCTAGATTAATGTGTGCAGACCACATCAGATGCAGTCTGATGACGACAGTCTTTAAAAACAGTCGTAAAACCAGAATAGCTAAATAAGCAGTAGTAATGACCGCACTTGTTTGTAAACTACAAACAAATACAGTTGCTTGTGCTAGCTGAGAACTACGTACGGAAATATACTTTACATTTTTTACATGATCGTCGAATTGTGCACTTGTCTCTCTAGAAGTTATTCCAGTTCAACACAAACAAGGAACATATGTATATAGACACAGTAGTAATTTGCAGTGGTTAGAGCGGGCTTGCCCTTAAATAGGTGGTTTACTTTGGTACTGCGAATCAACTGCTGGCGGTGGATTTCATAACATGCATGTATGTATACAGAATCGTATAACCGAGCCCCAGGTGTTTCACGCTTCAGGAGTGGTTATAAGTGGCCGACGACGGCTAATAAATCCAAAGTGGCCATTCCAGTCTCCCTTGTCCTAGTCGGTAGAACCGCCTATATCATTTGACGCTGTGCGGGTGATAGTTGGGCTCGAGATGGAGCCCGTAAGGGACGAGTAATTTCCATAAGAACGACCTCTGAGCGCCTCTCTATTATCATCAGATAAAATAAAAGGAAACTGTAATAGACACCTATCGTCAGACTGAAACGTATGGGTATAGATTTTATAAAATTAAAGTAGATTTTAGTCCTAACACTAATAAAATAGGATTTTGTCCACGCCGAAGTTTATTTTTCGGGTGAATGTTTACTCATTTCACGCAAATGTTAATGAATTTCTCATCTCGCACACGCAGTTAAAGCTGCTCGGGAATCATTAATCTTGTTGTAGTCGTTGGTCTTTAATGACAGCAAGATTTTCACCAAGAAACGCTAGCAACAACTTATGACTGGAGAATAATTCCGCTTACTAAGAAAACGTTTTCTCGACTCATGGTGCAACCATGTACTTTCAACAGAAGAAAGCCGACTTTTGTTTTTCTCTGAAAGTTGCTGCTAAAGGTACGGATGCTTTTGTTATTCACTTCATTCGCTCTCCTTTGAGACTTAGTGTTTTCTAAAATCTAGTCAAGCGTTTTATAGACATGACAATTAAATTAAGTTGCGTTGACAGCGAATATCGTGGGAATGCGTACAACTCCAGCAGCCGATTCGAGAAAAAAACAGCGTGAACTTGATTAGTTGGGAATGCCTGAGCTCTAAATTGTGTAAATAGTATTTAGCCTTTCTCGGAAAGTTTAAAATGACCGGATTGGGTGCTTCTTTCCTGAAAAAAGAGTAAATGAAGTCAAGGTCCTGGGCACAAAATTGAATTACCGGATGAGTACAAAAAGTAAGCTGAACTCCAAGCTTCTCATTTAATTAGAGTTTACCAAATGGGCTTAACAGTTTACCTTCAAAACCGCCATAAGCGCTTGCCGGCTTACAAGGTTGTCGTTCAGCTCTCAACTTATTTATGGCGCCTTGTACATGGGAGGATTCATGTGAATGGTCACACAACTTCCTTAGCTCCACCCATCTAACTCGGACTTATTACTTACTGTATATGGCAACTGAAGCTCATAAAGAACAAGTTGTGTTCCGAAAACGCAGGTGAAAACTCTTTTTACGAGTACTGAAGTAGTTAAAGGGGATGCAACTTGGCCTTTTTGAACCAGGACTAAGAGTTATTTTAATAAAATATTTGGCAACGCATCCGCTTTTTTGTAAAACTACATTCTGCAGCATGAATTTATGGCCAGAAAAGCAAAAGGGAGCATAAATCATTAGCTGTTCTACGTGGAATTGCGGAGTGATTTCAGACTTGCGGTAGCACATATAACGACGCAAGATAAATAATTTAGGAAAACTCGTAAAATTTGGAAAGATCCTATTACCAGCAAATAAAATTTTTCCATAAGCGAAATAAAATATGAGCCCAAATTTTGTCCAATTTTTTAACTTGGCCGGTTAAAGGTCAACCTTACTTCATAGTTCTTTTCGGATAAGAACAACTATACTAATGGGGGTAGAAGAAAAAAATCATTTATGAAACACAACTTTGGCCAGCAAGGGTTGCGCGTGGTACGACATTCGATATCACGGTCGCCAAAATTCTTGGCTTCTACGTCTGCGAACCTTATATACGCAAGCGTTATGGTCTGGCGTAAGATGACAACTCTTAAACCAAAGAAGGCAAAGGAAACTGGAGTGGTCATTTACGACTTACTGGCCGTCTTTGACCAGCTTTAGTCGACCCTAGTATTCCAACCCCTAAGGCCTAAGCTAGCATCCTTTTATTTTGGGATCTAGCAACCTAACTATCAGGTATAATTTATTGACGATGGCTGAGAGACCAGGAATGAAAGCACATCTGACTTTTGGACTGATAAACTGAGGTTTACGTTGCTCGCGCAGATAATTCTATCTGCTGCTCGAAAAATGGTTCGTGTATATATGCTTGCATATATACGTGTATCCTTAAAACTCGTTTTATAAACTACTGAAAAGTGAATATGTTAAATGTGAGAACGATGGTTCCTAAATGAAAATACGCCGGTCACAGGCGTGCAGGCCTCTTATCCTGTAACTGGGTAATCTCACAAAAACTTAGACGCCTTTGGATTAGGTTTATGAAACACGACCAAATCACCCCAGATCGACGGCTGTTGACTGCTCGTATTTCTGCCCCTCAGCGTAGGTCACATTGGCAGAAACATAACTATTTCAATAGTATGGTTATTTGAAATCGATTCTGATGACCCTGAATTCTTAAATATATTTAATAGAAAGCAATGCCTTTTCTGTGAAGATGCGTCTTTTCCCTTTCCCGTCCAATGGAATAGTATGCTACCGCTCTACGCGCTTTTTTATTATCATGCAGAAATGAATTGGAACTACCCTTACTATGCGTTTCTGTGTTCAATCTACAAGCCGCACACGTTCCATTTTGAGAAGAATCAAACATTCACATACGTTTTCAAGGTGCTTTATAATGTCTGAAATAGCTAGTAATATGTACGGTCCACGTTGTATTTTTTTATAAGGAAAATTAACAAGCGACCGATCTAATGCTATCTGAATGGATGTTTTACTGTCCGAAAAAGTTGCATTACTGGAGACTATTTTTAAACCTATTAATCCCGTTTCCTCGTGTAGCAAATTGAAGAAGGCATGATTTACCGCAAAATGCATACAAAGGTGAACCCTTTTTGAATGTCTCTGTGAAATATATGTGTAGTTATAGGGGCATTGAGAGTTAACGGAAGAAACCCTAATATATATTGTCCCTTTTGTGAGTATAGATTTGCAGGCGACCACGAATGCGCGCATTCACATGTCAGCATCCAGGCATGGCTGATATATAGGTGGGTTAGTTTACATGATTATCGGTATGGGGGCTTCACCTATGTTATCTCTCCTGACCGATATTACGCTTTATGAGATACGTCAAACAACCTATAATGACATGTACTAAGAATCTTAGTATTTTTCTTGAGTACCTCCTCTACCACAAACGCCGCCTCTAATCAACGTCCATTGTAGTTTGCCTGTCGACAAAAACGTGTTGAAGCATCTGTCGCTATTTTTACCTGCAAAGTGCGCCTGCGTCAATCAAAATCTCCTGAGACCAGCCATTTGACGGCAAGAGTATTGTTTAAGATTTGAATCATCGAAGTTTTTTGGATAATGCAGATGAAGGAGACGCCCTTGCAAAGTGGATGGAAAAACAAATTACTATTTTAACTGTATGTCGTGCACCAATTTATTGGGGAAAAACGAGCAAGAGACAAAGACGCATTAAACGTATTGTCGACATTTTATTTGTTACTTCCGAATAGGAAGCAAACAGAAAAAGCCACATCGTCTGGCAACTAGGTTTGTCTGGTGCCTGCCTGGCCGGCTTCTGCAAAACGAAACCAAATGCGCAAGTATCTCTACCCACAAGATTCACAAACTCCTCAAAATACCCTCGTTGGAATTAAGACAACAAACTGTTCTCACTTTTTACTGCAGTCCTGTAGTTGAAATTAAAGTAAACCGTTAGTAGACCCTCAGAAAGTTAATACAAAATTGTGGAAGCGCGAAAATCCCCGGCAGCGACACTTGTGCTCTGTCCACGCAATCGGATAACCAACTTTTCAGCATTTGTCCCTTGGTTTGGCGAGTAGGCCGCTGGGCGCAGACAGGCGTGGCAATTAAGCAAGGTTTATCTTAGACCTCTGGCTCGCTGTCTGGGCTTGCCCATCTGTCGGTCTGCAGTGCTGGTGGAAGTGAACAAAGTGTAGGCCTGTCTACTCTTTTCGGTGTTAACACTTGAGATAGGGTGGAGCATTTGCTTCAGAGAAGACAAACTGTTTTATCTAGAGTTCTTCAAACATGAACTTTACTTAGTTTTTTCTTAAAAATAGGCCATGAAATGAGTGCTGCCAGCGCTTTGTAAACATTACCAGTTACCGTCAGCACTGGCAAAAGCAACTCTATTAGTATATTTGTGCAATAAAAGATGGGCATCGCAAGCAGTTTACAGTTTGTGACCGATCTCATGAAACGTTGTTCAAAATTCTTAAATGCGCTTTCGGTTAGGAAGGATCACGAGGAAAAGTCCCATGATATTCCGAACTTGCCAGGATATTAGCTCTTGAATGCATCTCTTTTCGATCTCCTACAAAATACGCACTCGGTACCAAGTTGCAACATAAGTAGCATGCACTTTTCGCATTGATTTTTGATGGTCTTGTTAATTCAAATAAATTTTGTAGAAATCATGTACAAAAATGAGCGTTCTTTTACTGTTTTGGTAGATAACTACGTTTTCTTTACTTTTTGTGTCTGACAAAAGGGTATATTTAAGTTTTAAAAAAGTTTCTTATTATGAGATTATTAAATACCACGCAATGTCCATTCATACATCATCCTACATGTCCTTTACAACGTAGTCCGTATCCATAGCAAAATTTTATGACCACCATATGGCATCTTTTTAAAGGCATGGAGGAATATGTGATTTTCCTGACGTGGAAAGCATGCACTTTGTAAACTTATATCGCTCAATACTGATGCAACGGCTGATGAGGCTCAAAATCATTCGGGAATAAAGAAACGTTTTTAAAACCTAATTATACACTCCTCGTGACAGAAAATGGAAAAAACGTAGTTGTCTACCAAACCAGTAAAACTAAGTGTATTTTTGCACGTGTTTTCCATAAAATATATTTAAATTTATATGACCATCAAAAATCTGTGCCAAAAATTCATACTACTGAAGTAGCAACTTATTCCAGAGTGCGACTTTTGCAGGAGATCAAAAAGAGATGCATTCAGAAACCGACATCCTGGCAAGTTCTAAATATCATGGGAGTGTTCCGCAGGAGAGTTTATCTTACAACACTGCCTAAGTAGTCCTTCCAAATTGAAAGCGCACTTTAGAATTTAGGCCAACATTTCATGAGAGCGGTCATGCACTGTGGTTAGAAAGAAATAAGTCCTTTGGAAATTGCAGCAAATTTGTTCCGTAAATTTTTAACACTTCTCGCCCAGGTCTTCTTTAGACGTGCGACGAATATGCCAGACATTCAGCATTTTTAAAGAAAGCCAAAAGGTCAATTCTGTCCTTTAGTATCTACCAATCATCTATGGTCTTGGTTGACATCTCGTGTTAATCAGCTGTGGCCTCTTTCATCGTTCCCTGAGATTACTATGAACAGCGTCAAATTCAATGTGCCGGTCTATGCATGATTCATCGCAATATGTTGCCTCCAATCGACGACACAAACACTCCGTGGGCCCTAGGTATAGGGTTGGCCAATTAGAAAAGAAAGAGGTCATCTACAAGATTCTGTGCGACATCTGCGATGCAGTATGCTGTAACCAAACGAGAAGGTCAACGTCTAAACGGATACACGAACAGCATCTTTCCGTGAGCAGACGAGACCACCTGTGTTAAGCAGCCATGCATACCCTGGGCACCGGCAAGACGTTTGCTTTGAGCCGAACCCGCAATGTCGGCGCCTGACCTTTGAGAAAAGGTTGAAAGTCCCTTGAGGGCATACACTCGGATGAATCCCGTATCAAATAATACATAGTGTTGGATGCCGCGTATAAAAATTTCAAGAATAATGGAAGATACGGGAGCAAATCAGAATATAATTATACAGACGGCGGCCACTCACGCTCACAACCACCAGATAATTATAGATTTTCATGTGCACTAAAGATGTAACTTGTTTTGGCGTATTTGCTCTCCTTGTGACTCCGTCTGTCCATCTATAAAGGACGTGAATTTTTGGAGGTCGTGTATTCCGATGAATCGTGCATTATCCGGTCCACTGAACCCGACGCCGTTCACAGTAACCTCGGGGCAATATGCAAGAACCCTCAGACAATCAACACGAGATTTCAACTAAGGCCAGAGATTACTGGCAGGAATTAAAGGACAGCATCAATCGCTTGACCGATTTAAAGAGTTGACTGTTTTGCTTGTTTGTCTCACGTTTGAAGACGACCAGGGGGACTAGTGTTACAAATGTATGGAATGATGTTTGTTGCATTTCCCAAAGGACTTGTCACTTCCTAATAAACATATACTTAGGAAGGGGAAAGCTCGCCGGAAATAAGAGCTTTACTTGGCAATTTTCAAGCTGGTTGTACCCACCCGCTATCAGACGAAACGAATAATTAGAGATGGAATTGTCACACTGGTGGCTGAAAATGCAGAAAAGGAGACAGTAAGGCAGACGACCTTTCAGGGCGGGTGCATCGTTTTCTGAAGGTTGTCGGAGGTAAGAAAAGGTGTTGTGGGACCTAATTGTGGCTCGTCTTGTTGGGCGTGAGGAAGGAGGGATGACGTGCCGGCGAGATTCTACATGTTCACACCCCATCAAGGAACAACAACAAACTGAAGTCATTTACCGTATCACGTGCGCAAACTGCCACTGCGTTTATATTGGTCACATGAGTCAGCCATGTGGGACTCGCATTAGCTAACATAAGCTGACTGTCCGCAGACTTGGGTCTTTATCTCTCTTATTTGAGCATGTTCCTGACAGTGACAATCGTGACGGTACACGGGCCCTCACCTCCGGATCCAAAGAAAACACCATGAACCCAACCCTGATAGGTCGTCTGCCTTAGTCTCTTCCCCAACTCCCTAACTACCGGTGTTGCAATCCTAGCTATAACTATTAAATCCGTCTGACGATAAATTAGTGTAACTGGCTCAAAACTTTACGAGTAAAGCTATTTTTTCCAGCGAGTTTTCGCCTTTCTTTATATCGCCTCGGAATCCACACAACGTTATTTGTTCGTATCTTTAAACATATTATGAAAAGAAAATTCATTAATTAAGTTATAGGACGTGCTGGTCTGGCCTTGTTTCGTGGCTTCGCGATGGCATGCTGGAATTATTAACGCCCAACTACCGAAATCCTCCGACGAACTCATTCTATTTAGTTCATATGTGCATAATAGCGTCCCGTTCAATAAGAAGTATGAAAATGTTTATTATTCCATTCCAAAAATCTGCCCTTTTGTAAACTACTAAAGTCTGTACTGTTATAAAGCATGCGCTTTCGGTCTATACGACTTTTGTTGCTATTTAAATACCACTTCCTGTACCATGTTGCGTAGAAAATTCTTTATGGTTAATTATCTTTTGAAAATAAGGTGATAACGAGTGTTTTTATTCCGAAACTTTTGAATGGACTTCATTATGAAAAAAATCAAGCATACGGGAGTCTATTCTTAACGACATTATTGGCACCTAGACAAATCATGTAGGACAATCATATATTCCTCTATGACTCTAAGAAGAAACCATTTAGAATTCATAAAGCTTTAAAGCGGATGCGGACTATGTTCTACATTTAATGAGTAGCATTGGTAAACGTACATATGCGATGCTGTATAAACGGACGTCGTATGGTATCAAAATTCTTATAATTAGAAACTTTTTAACACCGAAAGATAACCCTTCTTAGGTCATAAAATGTAAATATAATGTGATTTTCCACTTAAGGGGTGAAATAAAGTATATTTTTGTGCATGTTTTCTATAAAATATACTTTAATTTATAAAACCATCGAAAACAATGTAAAAATGCTTGCGACTTGCGTAGTCAATTTTCACCGGCTGTGGTATCTGCAAAGACGCGAAAAGAAGTGCATTCAAAAGCCCACATACTGGAGGGTTTGAAATACTATGGAAGTATTCCGCATGCTAATGAATGCTGAAACCCCACCTAAGTAATCCTTCCTAATCGAAAACGCTTTACAGAATTTCGGCCAAAATTTCATGAGGTCGGTCACTCGCTGTACCACCCATACATCGGTAGTCAATCGTCCACTCCATTGCAAACAACGATGTATGGACACCGATTTTATTGCAAAATTTCATATGTCAACCTATTTCTCTAATGCAGCGACGAGTTTGCATTACTGAGTTGTTCAACAAACACACATGAATGCAATGGTTTTAGTGAAAGTTCGTGTGTTTCGAATTTACCCTAGCAACTTAAATAATCGTTAAATCTTAATTGCACATTAATACTTGAATTAAATGTTTAGACGGACCTTGTCAATGCGGATAACTAAGCTGATAAAATACTATTTGCGACAGGCGTCTCAACATAAACATTTTATAGGGTTTGTATTTAAATATACTTCAAAACAAGCGAAAAATAACAATCTGTGAACATTCACGCACGACGTTTATGTGTTTATCATAATAATGACGCACGAATTCGATATCATTACATCTTTTTTCCATTTTCAGAATACGCTTAACTAAAGATAGGAGTTTGCTTGACTCCACTGGCAATAATGCCCCAGTTACAGATTAATTTTAGGGTCACATCGCGACGCTCGTCCGTATTTATGAGATCGGGATAGAAAAAGGAGATTTAATTATAGGCCTACCATTCTCTGTACATCAAAAGAATTCATTCTCATAAAGGCAGTATATGTCTTTAATGACAACATAATCTGACGACTTTCAGGATTTCCAATGTCCTCAACTTATTGTATACAGATGGATTTGATAAGGCTTGCTTATTAAAAGAAACAAAGTAAGACAATGTTGGCGAATTGTTGTCTATATCATAAGTTTATGGTTGTTATTTTAAAGTAAGTTGTTTGATTTAAAGGCGTTTCTTTGCCCAAAATGCGTAGTTTAGGCATGTCACAGCCCCTACAACATGAGAACACTCACGTGCATGGCATTTCCTCTGATATTTCTTCCACGCAAAAGGCAGTTTAGACCATCTGCAAAGAATTTCCCAAACATAAGACCCCATTGCTGAGGAAAATAAACGTTCATGAAAAGATTTGACGGATATATTCCCAATAATCTAAAAAATTCTGTAATAAGTCATTTCATTATGAATCGTTTTGGTAGAACAGTGTGGTGACAAGTACCCGAGGATATGTTCGCTTCTTCCGACTGTTAGAAAAAAGGCTAGGATGTCTGGCCCACTAACGCAGCGTCTAGAACAATATTGGTAGTTCTTTTGCCGCGGACGAAAAACCGCCCTTTTCCCTATACTGACGCCATGCCATCTTTTCTGTTTTCTCATAAGCTTCGTTCTTCGATTCTAAGTGTACCTCAGTCGCCACATAAATATGCAATTACTGATCAAGCGATTACTTCTGCGTTCATTTGTTTTGGAGTTACGCTGAAGCACAAACTCTAATTCACGAGAAGTACTTTACCCTTTGCCCAAACATCACAATAACCTCTTAATTATCAAATAGTGTACGGTAACTAATGGGATCACTGTATTGTGTATATTGAAGTGGAAGACTACTTGCAAACCTCATTGCGGATTACAGGTACAACACCACGCATATACACTGATTCGAATTTAAAAACATAATATCTTCTAGCTTTCTGAAAGAAAGGTGTTTATTTGTACCCCGCTTTATGTCAATTAGGCGAGTCAACAGTTATTTAGGCTGCATGCTATTATATCAGCATACCTTTCTATTTTATATTGATAAACTTTAGAGATGGAGCACGAATGAATGCACACATGCAGTCTGACGGATTTTTTGACGCAGAAACTCCCCTAAATATTAGACCATGTTTATTAAGCTAAAGAGAATAATTATGTTACTGAGGTACTTTTTGGGGAACAAGCTATGCCTAAAAGTATAATGTACCATGGCAGAGGTTCTCGATAGATTTAATGTAAATTTCGTCCCCTCTCTCACAAGGCCCGTTGTGCACTCTGTGGTAATTTGGGCGCGATGTGCGTCTTCGAAAAATTTGCGATAAGTTATCCAAACAAAAGACAATAAGTGAATGAGAATCCAAAAGTCTGGCGTGAAGTTCGTTCCAACAGATTTAAAAATCTTCAGCCGCCGTTCAAAAAATAACCAACATGTTCTCATTCGTTTGCGGTTGCTTTCAGAAAGTATAAGCGAATTGCCTAAAGGCTGGCCAACTGAAAAAAGAGATGGTGTAAATCTCAAAATAGACTAGAAGATGACACAAAACACGTTAAGGAGGACAAAAAGCGTTCGACTCATAGGGAATTCGAGTAAAGAGCAAGGTCTCGTGCGAAAATTATCTCTTTACCGAACGTAATAATTTAAATGTCAAAAATATTCAATCAGGTATGGTGACAGCAACCGCCGCACTTAAGGTCTTCGATATGATTTCAAAGTTGAGTGCTCTGCATTTAGTAAATGTTGCTCAACCAGTGTGCCAGCTTGTTTTTCCTGCATTATTTCCTTATTTCGTCCTGTCACTGCGCCGCAGTGCGGTCTGCGTTTGAATTTGGGAAGAAAACGTCTCACAAACAGTTCAAATTAAGGAAATATTTTGATGTATGGCTCATATGGATAGTAATAACTAGTGCCTTCTTGGAAAGGGTGTGAGTCCAAACCAGATATGCTCAGAGTAGACTGGCTAGCGGGACTCATACCCGCTTTCTGCACCTCATTTGTATTTGTGAAATGACCATAATGCCGGCAAACTGATTCTTTCACTAGGCAGCATTTTCCTAGATTTTAATTCTGCACCAGGAACCATAGACATCATTGTCTAATACATCTGCCATCACTGAACAAAATTATCGCAACATTTAAAGGCCTCAGTGAAATAATAGGTCCTAATCCCCCTGTCTTATAAACAGATTATATGCGGTTAAAGCCTCTTCTCTATATCTCGCTTTAACAATAATCAACTCTTTAAACCTATTTGTCAAAAGTCTAGGATGAAACTAAAGGCGCTACACCCTTTGATATCTTAAAAATATATCTACTTTTAGCCGACGCAGGCTTTTAAAATTGATAAAGAATATTTTGGCCTGACGGTCAAACTCTCAATAAAGCTTTTGCTCTTTCACTCAATTATGCATGAAGAGCAATGGCATTTATGTAAAACAAACAATTACTATTCTTAAACATAGTTACCAATCTTTGATAGAATAGGAAATGATGTCATACAGCTTAATGGGGCCACCATCTGGAAGTATCTCCTCTCCATTTAGCCCAGAGTAAGATATTTGTATTGCATGAAGTTGAAAACGTACATGCTTGACACGATCCATCGGTAACGGACAGAACCCCTAATTTCTGTCAGCATTAGATTGGACGAGAGATAGGTCGATCGAAAAGTACTGCAGTGGGATCAAATATCTTAGCAAGAGATCAAAAATGGACAAGAAGAAGGTGGCTGATGACGTCTGACTATTTTGCAATTAGACCTACTTAGCATTATTCATCATGTAACGATATCAGCTGTGATAATGACTGAGGCAGTTATACCACTTTGTGTAGCAACTAAACACCTAGAAGAAGTCTTCTTACTAAGTGAAGTGTATAACCCGCAGTTTTTCGGAATATATGGCCAACATTTTGGTGGTTAATGAGTTTTATAGCGATTTATCATTTTCATACCTACACGCAGTCGCTCCCACACAAGTTGGAAGAGCGGCAGACGATCTGTTTATTTATTCTCTAGGATATTAAAGGCAAGAAAATCCACAAGATCTCTTATATTCCTCCCGGTATACTTGAGTTCCTTCCTAACCAAGCGGAACAAAGTTTTCAGTTGAAGAATCTTAACGGTAAGCTGATGCCTCAGTTAGGACCACGTCCTATGAGAATAAAGTTGACAAACTATTTCATTTGGTCCATCGTGGTCAAACAACAATAAGCTGTCGTATCGCATTTACGTATGAACGCATGTGTTATCTTTCTGAGAAAGGTTTGCATATTATGAACTGTAACATTCAAAATCGGTAAAAACTGATAAGTATGAAATAGGTATGCAAAGAAGAACGCATACAAGAACACATTATGATGATTGGTTGTGCACGAAATGAGAAACTTAACATTAACTAAAAAGTAGAAGTAGATAAATCTGTTTTTAAACGCGTCCTCTAATTTAATATATTAGTTTATTTGCCATGAGCATGAGAATAAGTTTTTTTTGCAAACAAGGTATCAGGAGACATCGAGTAATGCCTGATTTCCACCCAAGGCTAATAAGATTTCATAGTCTTCTAGTGTTAAAACATTACTGACGTCGTTTAATCAGGTTCTAAGGGCCTAATGTGTCTCACTGCCGCAAAATCTGCCATAGTTTGCGTCACCCTTGAGTCGCATTACGCTTATTTGTTATGAATAATCGCTTTTGCATAAGTTTAACTTCCATTCATTATGATTATTCTCTGCTCTCCAAATGGGCTGACACGGCAGATGCGTTGGTTCAATTACCGCTCGAATCCTGTTCCATTACATTAAAAGACCTGGAGTTTGTTTATTATTCATGATAAAAACCAACTTTCCTCGCTTAAAAAAGCAACGTTAGCGGAATATTTGAGTCAAAACGTCAAATCATTTGCAAAGATATTCAAAGTTAGCAACTACGTAAAGGTCACATAAAGTTCGTGTGTGGACTCGTCTATCCCGTGTGAAGAGTGTCATTAACGTCTCAGCCGGGACGTCTGTGTGACCCGGGCTAAATATATTTATAATAAAGGCGACCTGCGTCGAATTAGCCTTAACCCTCTTCACACATCTGGAACCTTCCACCGACAAAACAGCTGACGTTCACGCACCGCAATGTCCATTTATTTTAAACTGTCAGTATCACAGTAGCCAGTAATTTAATTACCAGCATTTTTATTTAAAACAGAATGTTAGAAATCTTGCTACCTCTAGAAAGCCACTGATTGATACTATTCATAATATTATTTTGGGTAAAGCAGAGAGAAATGCACGTTTATTTCTTCAAGCAGGTGTTGACTACATATACATTATACTCAAAGATAATGTATCGTTAGTAGATCAAAGACAGAGTACTTGCTTTCTGAGGATATCTAAAGTAATTTGAATTTTATTTACCTTGGTACACACTGCATCCTCGAAATTAAAACTTGGGGTTTTGAGGAATATGATAACAAATAAAAACAAAATGTTTAGATGTACCAAGACGTTTGGAAATCCTGATTATCTTTCTTTGAGCGGATGCTAAATACAGTTTATCATAACGTATAGCAGGAATATAATATTGTGTAAGATTTACGCCAGCATAAAAACATATTTTGACTTATTAATGTAAAGTCCTAAACCGATCATTTCTTTTAAATTTATACTAGATTACTAAGGAGATCACAGGCTTTACCGCGATCATTCGTTACGGGACTTATACGCATTGTGGACACATGGGCTTGATTAGCTATATGAGTACCAGTTCGCATGGACTTTGAGCCTCACATGATTTTGCATGGTATGAAATTTAAGATTTATATGTTTAACCTGCCCGCCTTCATTAAGTGAGATAAATGTGCAGGTAATTTTCAAATTAGTGTGGGAATTAAATTTCATACGGAGTTACAAGGTGGATTTTGCAAATAGTCATGCATCCGAATTTGTTACGCTGTCCAGTGCCACTAGGTCGTTTTACATCCTCAAGTATTCCATCGGAGAAATTCATGCTTCTCTATAAATTTGCATCGGTTCTTGTCTTCTCTCATACGTTTTTTATTATTTTGTGAATTTCTAGATGGTCAAAATGATGATTGCGGTCTCTGCGCTGTATGCCATTTCGCAGCTTCCAAGACATATACTCTTTCTTTACGGAACAATCGTTAACTGGGGCACGAAAGAACTGGCCATTGCCTGGAATATTGCCGTTTTCCTCAGCTCGTCGGCATCGTGCTACAACCCTTTTGTTTATGCCTGGATGAATCAAACCTATCGGACGGGGTTTCTTCTAGTATTTCGATCCGTTTGCTGCTGCTGCTATAAGAAATACCCACATCCAGTACCGTTGCAATTCAAGAGTCGCCACCAAGTTTTTACTGCTGCGGATGAGGCCTGAAGACAACCACCCACCCTTTTTCCTGAAAACCAAGATTAAAATTCTTTTGTATTTATCGTTTGTTTCCTTTGCAGACAAGATATTACTTTAGAACTGCCCGTATTTATGTGAATTAGCATTTCATAAACAGCAGTTTCAGGAAGTCGTAAGTATGAATAAAATAAATCGTAATCTCGTGAAAGACATTTGAAGAACAGGATGGCTTTACATATTCGAGCGGTCAAAAATGACTGCAAGATAGCACAGCTGCTTTATTATTTCTGAGCGGTCTATAAAACGGACAAACGACGTTCGTGGTGCTGTAATGCTAAGAAAAAAGAACAATATAATCAATGTCAGCAGGATCCACTGTTAATTTTGATCCAGGTAACAAAGGTGAGCATTTGTGGTCAAAATACTTAATATCTATCCAAATTAGATTACTCGAGTTAATCCTGTTAAACAAGCTTTTGTTTATGGGAGTATACCCGGATTTACGGGATGGTTAAGAGTGAGAATATGGTAGGGCATTGCGGACGCATTTAGGGATGTTTTGGGATTAACTAAGATAACCGCTCGCCAACATATATCACATTTACTTTGAGACGTCATACTAGTTACCAGAAAATGCCGCGCCAAGGTTGGAGTCATATATGAGTTTTACATTTTGAGACAACTGAGAATGGATATTTTCTCGTATATTTTGCAGTATTTGCAACTTGGATTGAGTGCACTACGGTGTCCTTTACGGGAGAAGCTACAGCAGTCTCTTGAGCTACAACTCATACCGTCCCATTTCCTTGAAGCTAAGCAGGCGCTATAAATATTTAGATGACTACACCTTAGCCTCAGCCGGTTTATGCAGTCATTGCACGAGAACGCACGCTGAAAACGTTTGACTAACCATGACAGGATGGCCTAAATTTTGGTTTCAGATACTCGAATGGTCGTCATGCGGCCTTGGTAGAAAAACCCCCTGATTTCAAAATAAGTTACATTATTTTCTGCAATCCATAGACCATTATTTAACACAAGTTCCCAAGATGTTACGTTCAAGCTGGTCTATTGGAATTGCACAAAATTGTCGTTATCTGAGTTAGGCTGATTTTTAGACCACGGCATTATGGACTCCTGGTATTACAGGTGGTTCTGCATCACGGTCTATAGAGTTGGACTGAGAAAAAATGGAGTTAAAGTTAGAGCTAGGACTCATGAATAGGTACTTTTCTGGAATCTAGCTCAAGTTTGCCCTCGGTACGAGAGTCCTCGGCGTCGCATGCAGCCCTGATTTTGTGCGTTGGAAGACGGTTAGCTAGCTGCGACCGAAAGAGCGTTGGCACTTGTTTCACGGCCACTGACTTTCTTTGGTAAACCGAATTAATTACCTGACCGCCTATATAGGTTCAAAAGAAAACCCAATGGCGTGCGACTACAGACTATGATTTTAATGTGGTTTACATTTGCGTATAGTGCCAGTGCTCAAGATGTGCGTAGTTATGCAAGGTTTAATAGAGGACGTTGATAATTGAATTCTATGGCCTCAATGCCTCCAACACAGTGTACTCAGGCTTAATCGCACCTTGTAGTTAAAATACGTCTGAAGACCTTGCACGTTTACAGCAGCGTTTAGTTAAAAAATCTGATAACTGGCGTCAGTCGAAGAATCAAATATCGCAGGTTTGTTTCTGATTTATCCCGCGCCTGGCCATTGGGCCTAGTCCTTAATGAAAACAACGGCGAAGTTGTGTATGTTTGAGCTCCTAACCTTGCTTGTTGTAAGCCTTTTTAGTGTGCATTGAAGATTTTATCTCAGCTGTGTTCATATTTTGAGTGATCTTATCTGTTTAACTCCAGTCGGAAAAGATCAAAGCAAAACGTTGCGTATAAAGTTTGCTTTTGATTGTTAGATTTCAAAAATTTTGCAACAGGCAAAAACAGAAACCTTTGATGAATGAGTCATTTTGAATGTTTTCTTTGCCGTCACTATAGAGAGTGGTTATAAGCGTGGTTACAATGTTTTCTTAGAATACTAAGGTAATTGACCTTAGCGCAAAGCTGCGGAATAGGCACAGGTTCCTCCTTCATATCCGAAAATTAGGAAAATATGTAGCTGATTTTTAAAAAAACTCATAACTTAAACACGTTTTTGAATCAAATGGTTTTCGTGAAACTTATAATAAAAACAAAAGAAGTCCAATAAGTATGCGCATGTTTTAGTGCTCCAAAGGGCCATCGTTAGGTTTTCTGTTCAGAAAGAAGCACTTTACAATTTCTGGAAACGTATATATCCCAGTATATTCTTGTGTTTTGACAAAAAATACGCTTACGCACATCAAAGGTAGTCACCAAGTACTTGAATTAAAAATAAAAAACTTTGGACTTAAATGAAGGGTTTACTTACCATAATCATTGTCAAATTGACAATTCAAATAACTTATTACTGTTTTTTACGATACCACTTTTCAAGCATTATTGCCGTAATATTTTAGTTTTAGTGAGATAAAGATAAAGCTGTTTTGTTGCATAGTAAGACATACTTATGACCCAATTATGGTGGACATAAAGCTTACCAAGAAGCGGAAAGAGATCTCGAAAAATAAATTCAAAATCAGAGGAGAAAACCAATTTGTATGACCAACCCCTATTGGTGGAAGACGGTAAATGAACCATGTTAGAGCTGACGGATTGAGCAAACTGCGCTTTGGATTTGCACTCCACTTAATTCGAACAAAAGTATAACGGCAGTAAATGAGAGTGCCTGCATTTTCAACTTCCTTAAACAAACTTAAGTTGGCAGAAGGAATGACGGACAAGCTATTTTTATTCAAAAACCAATGCACACGCGCTGAGGATGAAACATATCGATCGAATGGCATTGTGTTGTTGCAATGAAGTAAACAAGTAAATTGAAAGTGCCCGAGGGTTTAAGTCTGGTGTTTTAGCAATCCCTCAGAGACACTTGTGAACGTGACGGCTGGACCTTACTGCCAAATGGGCATTGGGTTTTACCCTTCTCATGCGCAATGCTAGAAGAGGACGATGTTGCTTAAATTCGTGCGCAATCCAAAAAGCCATCTTCTTGGGAGAGACAAGTAGGAAGCTCGTAACATAGCAAGTTTAAATTATCCTTATTCATTTTTCATTTGACAGAAATGACAGCAGCACAAACATTGGCAATTCAACAACGACAAAAATACGTGAAACGAACGCAACCCTTACCATTCGACCGACAGGCGCTGTTTTAGGGAAATAAGCAGGTGTCCGGCTCTCTGACTAATTCCAAACTGTTCAATTTTATTGCTGTTATCACCGCAAAAGATGTTTTTTGCTGTAAGATTGTCAGAGATAGAGGGCGACCATAAATACTCCCGAAGACATCCTGAGCTGCCGTAATTTGCAATAAACATCGCATTGCAAAACTTTTAGAAAAAAAGGCCAACAAACCGGCCATCCTTGTTAAGTGCCCTGTAAAGGGCAGACAAAGGATTGTTGGAAAAAGAGCAAGCTGGTTTTTGGTTTAATCAGCAGATCTGTTTACAGAATAGAGGCTAGCCTTTCTTTTGGTTGCTGAACGAAAGGCTGCTTAGACTGCGATGAAGGACGCTTGCATGCATTGCTAGCAACAAAGAAGGCCGCGCTTAGAATTAAGAAAAACAAATAGGTGCGGTAAACGGCGAAGTCTTTTCAGAACACGGGTGTACATATTTTAATTTTAGACGGTGCCACGTTTTAACTGTTTTTTTGTTGTGCATGATCAAATGGAATTTGTTCAACTAGAGTACATACCAGATTAACAAAGAAATTTGCTTTTTTTTCTGTCAGATGACCGATTTTTGTGAAGGTATTGCCTACTGAAGCCATGTCTTTTTGTCTTTAGTAAATGCGAACGTACTGGAAAAATTTTCTCTCTATTGTGCAATTTTAACTCAGAAAGCACACAAACCAATGTCATCAGAGTTCGCGGAAAGTCGTCGATGGAAACCTTTACTTCGGGAAGTTTCAAACTGACAACTCTAACATTAATAGGTGTTTTGGCCAATTTTGACTCGACTACGATTTAAGCCACGGCTTTAGGTGTAATCTCTTACTTGATAGGGCTAAAGCGCCGGCTTTAAGCAAGCTTCTCCCTTGCTATCAGAGGTTCGAGTCTTACACAAATCGCTCAGGTTTTCACAGTTGGGTCACAGGAACTTTTTTTAACAGTGATGAGTACTTCGTGTACTTAATCCAAGAACATTATCCAAAGACTCTTACTCCCCTCAACTAGCACTAAGAACCAAAACCCGCCGACCTCGTCATGCGTGCAGCTTGGGGGAGATGTGTGTTAATGACTTAATTGCCCTTGAGACATTGCTAATTTTGTACATTTTCATTCCTTTCATGTAACTGTATTGGCTTGACGAAGAAGTACCGAAAACACGTGTTTGCCAACTTGATTTTTCAAGTGTAACATGGGAATATTTGAGGAAATTATTTTAATTTTGTATTACTTTAGAACGACTTCTAAAATTTACCATGTTTCGGGATGCAATGATGCACTTTTCACTTTTGAACACCTATAATATCTCACATTATTGCATAAGGGATCACCCCTTATGGATATCCTGAAGAAAGTAAAGCACCTATAAAATAAGTAAAGTAGTTTACTGACGACTATGTTAAAAGCGTTTGTAAAATAGTTAGACGAATCCGCAAATAATCATGTGAGAGGACAACTTCTATAGATATTAGGTCAAAAGATGATGACGTGATCATCGGAACAAGAAATTCATTGGCCTGACGCTTCGGATTCTCACTTAAATCCATCATCATTTATAGCACGTTGCGGCCGTGGACCGTATGCGCACTGCAATTAACAGTGCTCGCAATCACCGCTGGGGTCGTAATTGATGAGGTGGTGGCTTGTCGGTCCGAGTCCGAGTCGTTAATTGCCGTGATTTCGTCATCCGTGCTGGATGCTGATGTGATGATTGCTCGGCAAACAGGCTCGCATCTTGAGACGTTTCAAGACGTACTTTACGTTCGGCAGGTGAAGGAAACGCCAATGGGTTACCGAGTTCGGGACTCATAGCGGAGGCGGTCCTACAACAGCTGGCGTCGCTGGTTTTCCGACACCATAGACCGAAATTCTCGGCTCGGTATGTGGATGACACCTTCGTCGTCATCAAACGGGATCAGGTGCTGACATTCAAAGAATATCTCAACGCCGTCTCTCCGGACATTCAATGCACGATGGAGGAGAAGGAGGAGGAAAACAATCAGCTGGCCTTCCTGGATGTCCTCGTCTGCCGCAAAGATTGTGGTGGTCTAAAAACCAAAGTTTTCAGGAAAGCGACAAATACGACATAAATACTGAACTTCAATAACAACAACCCGATCAGCCACAAACACAGTTGCATAATGGCGCTACGCAGGCGCGTTGAGACGCACTGCAGTGAAATGGAAGGCAAGGTTGCTGAATTACAACATCTTCGACGGGAAATGAGAGCCAATTGTCACCCGCGCAACTTCGTCAAACAGTGCATACGAAAAGGACAGCAGAGACCAAACTCAACGGGTTCCAAATTTTGGCGGGTTCTTTCGTACGTCAAGAACGTCTAGCAAGCCGTCAGTCTTCTTCTCACTCCACTTGGATTTGGACTTGCACACAGGCCGGAAGCAACCATAACGGCGCCAAGTCCTGAGGTCAAAAGACCCGCTGCCACGGCAGGAAACGTCTGGAGTCGTTTACCGGATCTGGTGTGGTTGCGGACGAAGCAACTATGTCGGAGAAACTGGGGGATTACCCCGTACGCGAATTGCCAAGCACGCAGCATCAGTGAGGCGGGGTGACGCTAGCTCTCAGCTAGTCAGGCGAATAAAGCCATTGTTCCAGCGATCGCTTCTTCTTCTGATCATCCTGCTGAAGTGTTTGTTTCGGAGCAGGGGGTGTGGCGGTACGCCTAGGTGCGGGTCCAGCCGCGTCAGCTACCTGCGCGCTCCGGTCTTCTAGACTAATCTTGATACCGGGCCGAAGCGGGAGGAGGGAAGGGTGTGGTAGGTGCTGTGCAAGGCTACTATAAAATACTTTGCGCACAAGTCGCCGTGCCTGTTTTCAGCCTGTTGTGGAACACTCACCGGCCATCGTCGGCAACGACATTCTTATTGCCCTCTGTTAATCGCTTAAATTTTTAGACATAACGTAAGCATGTGAGCTCGGAAAACCGGAGTTTGGTGGCTGAAATGGGAAGCAAACCGTTTCATGAGAGACTGAGTGCGGTGTCTCAGCGGGATGCATATTCCCGTGGTCAGATTTTAACTCGAAACCTAACTCCAACACTAACTATGGCCCTAACCTCAACCATCACAATCCTAAACCTAACCCTAACAAAACCTCCAACTCTAAAAATAACTCTTAACCGAATTATCTCATTCATAATGCACTTTGGCCTAAATGTGAAAAACTCGGTGCCTCGGTTGGATTCGAACCCATGGCAGCAAGGGGAGGCCTTAGTACAGCCAACTCTCTAACGATCTGAGCTACAAGGCCCCATAATCCTCTCGAGGATCCATAATTCCCACTATATCACACACACATCAATCCTGGTTTTAACAATAAGGTAAGGTCACCTGTAACATGGGAGACTTCTGACCTCGTGCCTAGGCATATGAAAAGTGCAAATTGCACCAGGGCGTCCTAGAAATTGCAACCACTAGTTAGGATTATTAATAGGAGGCAATGGATGCAACGGTCCATGTAGGACAGCCAATATTAGCGCCAACATACCGCATACCACTGCGTTTAGATAAGGATTGAAGGCATCAGTAGGGATTATACAAAGCAAATTTAAAGTTATCTGGCAAAAAGCAATCTGCGCGAGTTAATGAGACCTGCTGTTCGGGACATGCGAAAGTTCGCGATAAAGAGGAAAGCGACTGTGGCTTGATTTCTGTCTGGACGGTTGCGAATGAAAAGTCGGTTTAGTAAATTCATGCTGGATTGCGCCCAATGAGACTGGTTAAACAGCTCTCGTGGTGAGCGGTTTTGTGGCAGGCACTGACGACTTATTAGTGGGGCTCTTAGTGTGAATTTCACTTCTTGCTGCCGCAATGATTACTTTTTGAAAACGAGCTTTTGAAGGCAAAATTTCCGATCATCAAAGGATTTTTTCTAATTAGCCGTGAAACTGTATCCGAAAAAAATGTCGGTTGATTCAGGCTGCCTTTTTTCAGCTAATTAATCAGTTGAGATGGTTCACAGTCAATGGGAAGAGATAGCCTCTCGAAAACTGTGAACGAGTTAGCTGGCGAATTTCCTGTAGCGTACGCCAACCAAAATATGTCCTTTAACAGTCGTACAGAAACTATTAAATTGGATAGAGCGATGCCTGAACTGTTGATATTAAAATAGGGACAGCATCGGCATAAAGTATTGCACAAACTCAGCTCAGTGAGTTATATAAAAATTACTCCGATCATTTTTTGAAGAAATAATGAAGTGGGAAAATAAAAATTAATAGATCGGTGATTAATATTGACCTAACCGTGAAAAATGCGGCACCTTGATGGGAGTCGAACCCACGCAGTAAAGGAAAGGCTTTAGTACAACCATCGTTCTAACCACTTGAGCTACGAGGCCCCGCCGGACGACGCAATTTGAATCACAATTGGGTCAAGTTACCAGCTCAACATACTGCAGCATCTGGAATCCACCAAATGAGATACAGTAAGTTGACTGCCCATGCAGGATTCCCTAAGCCATTCACCTAGAATCCACCAGATGACTACTAGCCTCGCGTACTTCATAGTAACTGCATGATCTTACTTTACGATACGGGTGATTTTATACAAAAACAATTTTGAGCTCACTGCTAGAAGTTTTCGACAGAGACGGCTAAGAATAAGAACATTACGGTTAAACAACAATGCTACACGCATGGGGCCTCAGGTATGAAAAACCACACAAGGCCAAGATTACAAGTGCGCAATTTTGCATATCAGTAGGGTTCAGTTAGTGTAGCTTTCCAACGTACAATCCAAAGTAAACTTAAACACAAATATACTTACAAAGGACCATCAAAAATGTGAAAAATAAGGGAAAATTGCGTAAGCGACAAATAGATTCTTGACAGGGGAGCCGGTATTTCATATCAATCCCTTTAAGGAGAACAATCAGCAATTTATAAGTTGGTTTTGATGAATCCTTGACTTACAAGTACTTTCTGAAATCAAATGATCTGAGACCGTCGTAACAAACACAAACGTTAGAAACATTTAAGGAATAGGTCGTATTAACGGTGGCTGGTTTGCCTAATATAAAGCCGACTGCGAGCCAGACAGTAAATACAATTTATTTTACTGGTTCATATTTTTAGACGCAAGGTTGCGTTCATCGAATTCTCTGTTTAAATTTACTCTTAGCACACTTATAGGCGCTCAAATAAAGTGAAGATTGTGAGTTACTGCAAATAATTCATTAAAAACTAATACACTCAAAATCCGGCAAAGTTATATTTCCGCGTTCAACGGGAAAATTTCGGTCATGCATTAGTATTCAACCAGAATACGCTTCATAGCGTAGCGTTGATCATTAACTTTTCACTTAACATATTCCGCCCATACACCTGAATCGTTGTTTTTCAGCAGAGGCAAATTCTTTTTTAGCAAGAAATACCAAGGAGATTTAATTAAAATCTATAAGTCAAAGTAACCGGCCTGACTTCTTAGGATGCAACCCCGTAAATTAAAAAAAAAACACATTAACCCCTGAAGGCCGTAAAGGATGGTCGGAAAGAAGACAAAGGGGCGCGACAGAATTATTTGTCTGTTCAGGGATATGTAGTATCGTGTGTATGGTACTATGTCCTCAGTGTACACCCAGCCGTTCTATTGTGTCGTGATACTGGATAAAGTCATAAAACAAACTACATTTCCGGTGTAGCGAGGATTGAGACAGTAGGCGATTCAGTGTAAAGAGAATATTCTATCTCAGAAGACGAAGATGTGATCATTAGAACAGGAAATATATTGACACGACGTTTCGGTTCCTCATTTGAATCCATCATCAGAGACAGTTTTGAATAAGGGTAATGGTGGCGTAGAGAGTACAGTTTTATACCACGTGGCTGCTGTGGGACCATATGCGTACTGTAAGTAACAGTCCTTATAATCACTGCTACGGGGGTAATTGATGCGGTGTTGGCTTATCATTCCGAGTCCTAGTCGTTAATTGCCATGATTTCGCCATCCATAGTGGATGCTGGTATGACGATTTTTCGGTAAAGTTACTCACTGTCACTGGGATAACTGTTCACCCGCACCCTCCACTGCCTAGGGAAAATCTCAACAGTGGATAAAGTAACAGGAGGTCATTGCGCTTGTTGACGGATTACGGACCCGAAATCCATGACTCGAGTAGCTCGAGGATCACGCGGTTGTCACCCCTTGCGAGGATTTCGGCCTCCTTAATATGACCGGATCACGTCGACTGAGCCGCCACCTTAGAGCTCGCCACTCCCCGCCTCACGGCTGCTGTGTACTCTCGCGTCTGAAGTAATCTCCCAGTTTCTTCGACGTAGTTGCCTTGTCAACAACTGCGCCATGTCCGGTAAAGGACTCCAAACGTTTCCTGCCATGGCAGTGGGTCTTTTGGCCCAACGACTTGGCGTCTAATGGCTGCTTCCGGCCTGTGTGAAACCCCAAATCCAAGTGGAGTCAGAAGATGACTGCCGGCTCCCGAGACGTTCTTTACATACGGAAGTATTCACCAAAATTTGGGGTCGGTTGAATTCGGTCTCTAGTATCGTTTTCACATGTACTGGTTGACAGAATTCCGCGGGTAGTCATTGGATCTCTGTACCCGTTAAAGATATTTTAATTCAGCAACTTTGTCTTCCTGGAAATCGCCTACTTGCTTCCATCAGCATGTTCTATCTGCACTGTTTAAATTCAGTACGCGCTTTGAACAGCCTTCATTTCGTAAAGCGTAAACTATACAAATAATAAGTTCGACTTTGAAGCAAGCATCTCAGAATTTTTGGCAAAAATGTTCTCTACCCCTGGAGACCGGTAGGCGAAGATCTAATGACTGCACGGGACAATTCTCATAAAATCTCTGCCTACCCTTCAAAACAATTAAAGTATTAGCTTCAGTAATTTAGTCCCGGCATACGTAAGACTTTAAGAAGGAGACAAGGTTGCTGGGACAAGAGCGATCGTCATCATCAACTGCTGGCATTCAAGGAACGTCTGATTGCAGTCTTTTTGGGAATAAAATTTACGATGGAGGAGAAAGAGTACAAGCAGCTGGCCTTCCTGAATGTCTTCCTATGCCGCAAAGATTGAGGTGACCTAAAGACTTAAGTGTTCAT